TGATGTTACATGGTATAATAATAGAAGGTAACAGCAAGTGTTGTTGTACAACAATCGATACAACAACCACATGGAAATTTGTTTTTGTAAGTTATACTAGTGTCAACGTCATTCGACAGAAAAATGTAAACAAACAAATAAATTATATTTATTTTGAAAATGAAATATGTTCGAATCATTAAAATACAATTTGAAAAACATGAATGAAAATCTATCAAATTTATATTTCTATCGCTTCCACATCTTTCCTATAGTTGAGCTTTCCACTTCCACTTATATGTGTAACACATATGAAAATGCAGGGAATTGCGAGTTTTTCAATGAAGAAAGATTTGCTTCCTCAAACTTTCCCAGCAGGCAGATTGAGTAAATTGAATACGGGAGCATATTTAATAAAGAACAATTTCATATTGCATGCGTTTCGAATTTTCCTGTTGGGTGATTTTTAAAAACATAATTTGTGAATTTCATATTGACACTAGTATTACGTTGGTATCAAATCAGCAGGGATTTGCTGTTTCCTTTTATAATTGTACCATGATGATGTTACGAGATATTTCATATCCATTGTCTGATCCCATTTTCAAAAAGTGGTAAACATGGTACAACAATAAAAGGTATGACAGCTTGAGATGAATAACAAATAATCTACTATGTAGGTAGTGGCTTCTTCTATCAAATTTCACAACACATAACTAAAGACGAGACAAATGAATGACAGGTTATGATTTCTCACTTTGTAATATTTATACCCAGCTTTGTATTAAAAGCAAATCGTTATCATTTTAAAATAATAAAAATAATTTCTTTTATTTTTGCTCGAAACAAATTTTCTTTCCTTGTGTTTTCTAAATAGCATCCCATTGGCTAGGCTAGGTTATTATAAATATATTTCTGAATGACGGACGTGATCAAACAGGAACATTTTAAAGCAGTGTTGCATTTCAATAGTTCTCTGATTTCAATCATGATTACAAATAAATCTAGAAGGGAGATGATATATTTTTGTATAGTTTTTTTGGAATCTCATAGATATTTTGACATTTTACTACTACAGTATGTTTATATTGTACCGGATTTAGTTATCAAACAGGAACATTTTAAAGCAGTGTTGCATTTCAATAGTTCTCTGATTTCAATCATGATTACAAATAAATCGAGAAGGGAGATGATATATTTTTGTATCGTTTTTTTTTGGAATCTCATAGATATTTTGACATTTTACTACTACAGTATATTTATATTGTACCGGATTTAGTTAACCCAGTGGGTTTAAAGTGTCAATTTAAAAAATTTTTTAAATGGTATTCGTACACATTCAACTTAAAATATAAAATTCAAAAAATATAATGTGTTTTGAAAATCATTAGCCACAGCTTTACATTCCACGCCGTGTGCTTAAGATCATTAATCTACGGGAACCAATAGCGATTTTTACCAATAGTAGGTTCGTTCCCGTACTTTTTGATAGTAAATCTAGTAAAAGAGCGAACTATAAAAAATTACTCTCACATACAAGATTTGCGCAAAAAGTAAAGGAACGAAAAATAGTTAAAACATGAAGAAACGTCAATATCAAAAATTTCATTTGTTAAGGACAAAAAGACTACAGAAACTTAATGCACAAAAAAAAAAACACAAAAAGTTAAACGGCGACCATTGCGTTAGAGGAAAACATTATCGAATATTTGGAAGTGGAGTTTCCGACTACTCCAATCCCGGAAAGGCTTTCATGGCTTTACGCTCCCATAATGTTAATGCTATTGAAATTTGATATTTTGATTGGAATGTTTTAGCGAACTAGAAAAACAAGAATACTCGGATCATTTTGAAATGATTACCGTAAGTAACCCTCTTTGTGCTAATTACAGTGATATACATTTCATGTGGGTAAATGCATACTTCCCGAGATATTGGCCTCGGAACATATATTTTTTGAAACAACCCTTTTTCTATTGCCACCAAGGCAATATGGGTATCATTAAAAGGTTATATCTGGTACTTTTTAAGATAACTTAAGAATAACACTTTCACATATGTACAAGCGCATACATGGCTACGCAAACCAAATTATTTTTTTTTAATTTAATATTCTTCATCTAGTTAGTACGATTAACCAACCCATTCAATAGTATCTTCATCTGAATCTTCTGCCAGCTAATCATCTTCGCTATCTTCCAAAAGAGAATACAAAATCTGTTTGCCCATTTTTAAATTTCTTATTTGTTTGTTTTTCTTTTCAAGCAAATGTGTGTGCGTGTGTCCCTTATGTTGAAGCGCTAACTTTCATATGCTTTATTTCGGACTGTATATCTCTGGCAATCAAATGTCAAATTCATAATTTACTACATTTGCAATTTCGTGCTAGGCCAAATTGGTCTTGCGGAAAATAGGAGAAGAGAACGCCATTTTGATTTTAACTCTCTTAAATTTAACTTCAATTTTTCCTACTTTTCGGCGTAAGGAAACGCTTTTCTAGCAAAAATTGCAAAACTAGTACAATATAGTACTATATTGCAGGTTTGGGAACACAGCTAGTATTAGCAACTTCATGCAAAATTTTTCATCTTGCTTTGTTAAAAGCGGCCCACACAGGTCAAATATCCGTGTGAAGCTGCTAAGACATACACTTTTAAAAGCATTAAAGTGGACAGCGATAAAGACACAAAAAGACCGAATATTGTTATTCAATTTAATTTTATTCCGGGCAGTGGGAAACAAATATTTATTTTTACAAGATCGCAAAGAAATCCTCAAATTCGAATTCCCTTAATAACTTCATCTTTAGAACGATCGTTCCTTGTCCGAGTTGCTCGAGTATATAACATATTCGCCCATGTGCTGCATTTCGAGTTTGCTCGAATGTGAAACATTTTCCCAAATTTGGTGTGCTCCATTCCGAATACCCAAAAAAATATTGGGAATATAATTCGAGCACATATAGCGTTGTGGATTGAAAACAAAATGAGATCGTACGTGTTTTTCTGAGCACGTACAAGTTGAAAAAGAGCGCTGAACATTTTTGCGATCAATTTTTGAGATCAATCTGGCAACTCAACCACCATATGATCAAAATAAAAATAGAATCTATAAAAAATCTACTTTTAAGATTTCCAATAGTCCTTTTAATAATGTTTCTTGCAGATGTGTGCACTTTATTATACCGATGTTGACAAGATCCATGCTCCACTTGGGGAGCATAAAAAATGTTTCTAAAGCGTAAACACTATCTCCTAGAAGCCAACTATTTTGCATACCATTTCCACTTTTGTTAATGATGACTAGCTGCACTCATATGCCAAATAAAAGCATCATTGCTGGACCCACCAACAGCCAGATATCTCAAGGTACCTGCTAACTGGAGGCTTTCAGGAATGGCACCCTTGTGTATGAAAGGACCCACTTCTGTCAAAATATCCATAAATGCTTATTTTAACACGTTCCAGTATCATTGACTTTTTCAGGTAGAAACCAGGGCAATTAATAAGCCAGCAGGCATATTTTTTTCTTAATTTTGTTGGTAAACAAATTGCAAATTCCAATGAAACATATGTTTTTTTGTTGAACACATTTCGTAACATATTGAACACAGCTATGCTTTCGAGCCACACTTTCACTCGAAATTGAGCACACCATTTTGCACAACATGGGAATTTAAAAAAGTATGGGAATTCAAAAACTCTCGGAACATGTCACATGGGCGATTACCAGCACCCTTTAATACCATTCAATCATTCAATAGCTTGGTTTAAAAGTAAAAGTTAGAGTATCTTATTTCCAATTACTCATGATTATATCAAGTTAATCAAATTTTATAAATTAGTATTGCCCAATATTACTTACTTATTTTATTTATTTATTTATTTTTTTTAATCAATGAAGAATTTATAAATCATTACGTTATATATATTTATAAATTGGAGTAGTTCAAATTCAATTCATGTATTTTTACAACTCATTTTTATATATAATAATTTCCTTTTGGTGTGGATTAACAACCATTCCATTCCTACTGGAGTAGTCATAATCCAATTAATCAATTTGTTTAATCATAACCTATACTAATAATTAAAAACCTTTTTTTGTAATTTGATCGGTATAATATTCTTTAGTAGTCCAATATCCCTCCCTTTTACATTTAAGCCGCTTAATATGATAAAATTTATATTTAATTGTGAAATGTAGCTTACAGCCTTAAGGTCGAAAGACTGGGCAATATGAAATATAAAATAAATAAAATAAAAAATAAATAAATATACTTATACAAAATAACAATAGACGGTGAATATATTGAAATAAACGTTTATCACTTTTATTACATTTTATACGTTTACACCTTTTTGACAGTCGTAAAATGCGTAACTAACAAAAGCATAATTGTGTAGGAGAAGCAAAAAACTGTTTTGAATGAAAACTATAAACATGTCAAATGAAGATTTTTCTAAGTTCAATTTTAATACACTGACAGATGTATACCTAAATAAAACAAAATTGTTTTTTAATTATTATTATAAACCCACTTGTAGTTACGTCTTTTTGGTTTATCAACACATGTAGTTTATTGACATTCACAATATTCATTCAAAAAGTCAATTTTCAATTTTTTTTTTGTTAGTTACGCCTTTTTGCATTTTAGCTAACGATATATCCTGACGGATTACCATTAGGGTGGCGATCTAAGATGAAAAATTCTGCAATTTTAATGTTTAATGTAATGTGAATCACAATTTAGACAGTTCGATAACGAATTTAAAAATTTATTGTTTTTTTTTTTTTCTTTGTCGGCTGGGAGTCGAAAGATCGTTGGGAATTTTACGAACCCTTTCATTTATAAATAATTCGTCGTTCTGAAGCGAAAACGTTTTAACTCCTCATATTGTAATACTCAATGCAGTCATATTTAATATCAACTTTGGAGTTAAATATTTTTTGCTCTAGAGGGGCGAATTTTCAGCTCATAGAGTTACAAATAGTTGAACATTTCTCAGTTATATGCTCACCTGACGATATGTATCCTCTATTGTTGGTATATAGGATTCGCGAAATGTTCCTTTTATAAATCGTAGAACTAATGAACTTTTTCCAACTCCCCCCGCACCAAAAACAACAACTCTATAGTCGTTGTTTGCTTCGGCGCGGGTCACGACCTGCTGATTCTTTTGCTCCGTAATTTTGAGGCTGTTTCTTAAACACTATCACAATGTATGTCTCTTGCTGGAGCTATCAAATAGTTCTTGTTTGTTTTTTTTTAATTTGATTTTGAGTATGGCACTTTAAAACTTCATGCGCGAATTTAATGTTAATGACTTGTTATACACTTTCATTCCGGCCTTTTGGTTCTTTCGGGCTGGTCTGCAATTATGAAGTAAGTGTAAGGATCTTGTACAAAGTCCCGATTTGAGTGTTTATGTTGGATGTCTGAGGATGTGATATCATTCATTGGTGCGCTATAAACATGCATGGTATATTTTGTTTTGTATGTGTTTATGTATGTACATGCGATATCTCTATGCCGGTATGGAACGATATACATTGGTGCACAAATACAGTGTATGTATATTTATATCCTGTACAAGTCTTTTGGATATACTTCGTATTTATATATCATTACAAAATAAATTCTGAAACACTAAACTAATAAAAATGACTTGGTTTGGTATTCATTTCAAATTACAAAAAAAAAAAATAGAACAAAACAAACAGTGTACAAATCATATCCACGATTAACAAGCAACTGTGCAATCGCAACAACAAACCGGAGCAACGTGTGAGATGTTGTTGTAGTTGCAACTCAGTCACCGTGAACGCAATTCGAAATCAACTGTCACTTGATTTATTTGATCAACCGACAAAGACGCATACAGAAACAAGAGTGATGTTCGGCCAAAGTGCTTCCATTCTGTAGGTCTTCCCGAAAATAAATCGCCACTCATTATCAGTATTGATATTGGAGTTTATATGCAGGCAATCATTGGAATCGTTTGCGTTAACGCCAACAGATGTGCCCCGACAGAGTTGTCTTACCAAATGTTGTCATCAATTCGACATATGACATGTTTTCAGTGTGTGTGTGAGTGCGGAGGTTTTAGGTTCACATTCGTTCTTGGGGGTGCACAATTCAAAATGAGTGAGTGGGTGTGTGTTATAGGTTATGGAGTGTAGTGGTTGTTAGTTTTTTTTGTTTTTGCTTATTTGTCGGGGTAGGAGTACAATAATTATTAATCACTCCAGTCCGGAAAAGCACGAGAGTCACACTTTGGGAAACAAGAAATATGCAAGCCTGTAGTCATATATGTACATATGTATACACTGTGCACGGCCAAGTATCGGTGGAGATATTTTAAATCGGTTACTCCGGTGCTAAATGTTTTCTAAAGATAGCTGGAATATAGTAGTTAGATGCGTAATAGAAATTAGGTATATATATTTATATTTTAGGTAGTATTTTCAAGGCAGGCATACAAATAAACTACATATATTGGGTTCTTTATGGTTCTAACGCAAATAATAGTGTTACTTTTTGTGTGGATTGTTTTTAATTGTCGTTTGAGATTCCCTTCTGTAGGTTGTGGGTATGTTGTATGTAGGTAGTAGGAAGGTGGGTGGGCAGATATTCGTGTATTTATGTTATTTCCCGATACAATTGCTTATTTTTTTCGTTAGACTTGGAGTTTTCACGTCTCGACTCTCATTTCGTTGTTTCAATAAAAGGTTAGACAAGTATTTTCGTTGCTCATTGAATTGGTTGAAATGAGGATGTTCGCTTCAAATTACATTTAGTTTTGCAAAAGTTCGAATTTTAACACACGGAGGAAATTAATTTCACACACGCACACAAAAGCTAACAATAAATGTACAGAGAAGAGCAGGAATAACAAATTTTCAAATGCATTCGGTATTTAGTACAGGTTTGACAAGTCCATAATTAAGGACATGCGCAAATGGGAAAGTTCTAAATGCGTGAACAAAAAATATGTCAAAATACCGTTAAATATTTGTAAGCTATTCAAGTAAAAAAACAGAATGTTGTACAAATTTTCAAATTTGTCTAAAAATTACTTGAGTTGAGTACTTGAGTTTTTTTTTTTTGTTTTTACAAAACATTACTGAGTAAATATTCCTAGTAAGATTTTTCAATACTCAGTAAACAAAATTAAAAACAGCATTTACTCTCTTTTAATGGATTTTTTTTTTTTGTAAAAGGACAACATTTAGCAACATTTTGTAACAATTATTACAAAATATCGAGTACAGACACATTATTGGCACTTTTATTAAAATATACATTGATAATTCATTTGTAACCACTACGTGAGAGAAATAAGTTTTAAAATTTAAGGTCGGACTGATACTGGACAGTCATGCAGGCAAATAGCTAAATACTTAAAAAATAGTTCATCATATTGTACAAATTGTTCGAAAGAGACCAAATAAATAATCGAAATGTATCACATCTGTAGACCAATTCTGTAACTTTTTAAGAACATTCCGTATTGCTTATTTTACAGCAATTTCATTTGTTTGTTTTATTGTTTTTACAATAACAAAATGAATTTAAACAATATCGAATGTTGTTAAAAGTTACAGAATAGGCCTACTGGTCGCTCAAGATTATTAACTGACACAGCTACTCGGTATATTGAATGTTTAATGAGTTATAGAGATTCTAGAACACAAAAATTAGCTACCAAGGCGATAGTGTTTGCTGATTAATGGTGTTTTTACACGATATGTATTTTACATATGTGCTGCCACTTATTTCATCCATATGTAATTCCTTATGTGTGTCAAAATTAGCAGCGTACACAAAACATTTATTTTTGTGTTCAAATCGGCATATGTATTTTACGTATGACATAACCTATAAACAAAAAACACTTTTATTTTTTCTTAAACCAACATCATTTTTTTATTAAGCACCTACAAACGAAATAAAAATTTGTAATTGTTGCCTATTCATCCTTTTCTTTGACTTGCAATTGAAATATTTTCTTCCAACAATGTGTTTCATTCAAACAGCTGATTTCCTTATGTTTCACATACGAAAATAGAGCGCGTCTTATTCGGAAAAAAATACATATGTATGTTATTGCATATCGTTTTGACACATTGAAATTTCCGTATGTTTCACATGACGAGTTCGATTTCCATATGTAAAAAAGTGACAGCACATATGTAAAATACATATCGTGTAAAAACACCATAAGATAGAAGGTATATCGAAGCAGGATGATTAGCTCAATATTCTTTAAACCAGGGCTGTCCACACTAATACAATGCAAATGTTTGTTATTGTATTTGTTTCAAATACACAATTTTCAAATGTATGTCTCTCTCTTATTAAACTGTGAGAAAAATTTTAAAAATATGTATTTCAAATTTTAAGACTGGTGACCATTTTGTATTCAATACAAATATGCTTGTTAATGATCTATTTTCCTATATAAAGATAGATTTGCTTCTGTTTCGCCAATCCCCATTGTATTGGCCACATATTTCGACTTTTTCTGAACTAATTTTTGCCAAAAATGTCCTAATTTTTCGTTCAGTGTATGAGAAAAAAAGGAATAAATGACAATTGTGAAAATATTTTTTATTTTCAAATGTTTCTATTTTTATCATTGTGTGTGTGAGAGTTTTGAAACACACCGATTTGGGCACTGCTGCTTTAAACCAGGGCTGTCCACACTAATACATGCAAATGTTTGTTATTGTATTTGTTTCAAATACACAATTTCAAATTTATATTTCTCTCTTATTAAACTGTGAGAAAAATTGTAGAAACTTGTATTTCAAATTTTAAGACAGAAAAACATTTTGTAGTCAATGCAAATATGCTTGTTAATGATATATTTTCCTATATAACGATAGCTTTGCTTCTGAGTTTTGACACACACCGACAGCCCATGGGACCTATTTTGGGCACTGCTGCTTTAAACCAATTTGAAATATTTTGTAATATTATTATAAATTTGTATTATTTTCTTAAAGTATTGTATACAATTTTTTATATTAAAAATGTAATGTGTGGTCTGTTCCAGTGGGTCGATTCACTATCAAATTTAAAAAATTCTCAAATCTATAAAATATTATAACGACAAAATAAACAATATTTCAATTTGTCTACATTTTTATTTGTCTACATTTTTACAGAATAACATTTTCATTACTGCAAACGATTTTTTGTGTAGACAAAATTGTCGATTGTCGGATCGTTATAAGTTACTGAATCGACCTACAGAACCTGCAAGAATGTACAATTTGTTACTACGATAACAATTTTTCCTTTATGTTATTTGCAAATTCATACAAAGAAAAATTTACTCAGTAAGAAATTTCTTGTACCATCAGCTGATATATATTCAACTGTTTTGTAATGTTCTGTAAACAAACAACAAAATTGTTCTTAAGAAAATCGATTGTTTTGTGAATTTTCTTTAAATTTGGTATTATCGAATATTAAAAAGTATGAAGAAAACGCAAGTATTTATAAACAACATCAATTTTCCGCTTGTTATCTATTTTTCTAATAAAAATTCTGCTTTTTTGTTTGCCCCAAATTGTTTGTTGTTTTAAGCAGCTGTGTCGATACAATCTTTCTACTGGATATTGTTCGTTTACTTTTTACAATTTTCTCTCTTCAGAACGAAAAATTCGTATTTACTCTCTGCAGATTCTTACTGAGTAAATGTTACTGAGAAAGTAAACGAACGAACCTATTTTGAATGACACTAGTACTACATACAACAACAAATTTCAATCGATGGTACAATTATGCAAGGCAAGGTATATTTTGTCAACAACGTTATAGTCTTGTGGACTATAACGTCAGATTAAATAAAACAATTCTTAACATATGACAATACAGACAAATAACGCGAAAAATGAATTATTTTCTAAATCGATTTGGGTATATGATTTAGATATTGATTCCATCGCAAATCATAAATTTCTTCTTACCAATGTTGTAAAAGTCATGGTACAATAACTAGAGGTAGGCTTACTTGACGAAATTGAGAAAAACTTTAGTCTAGTGCCCAAAATAGGTCCCATGGGCTGTCGGTGTGTGTCAAAACTCTCACACACACAATGATAAAAATAGAAAAATTTGAAAATAACCAAGGTAGATATACAAGGTAGCCGCATCGGCGAATTGGGAACATGATATGTCAAAATTGTTTACCAGGCGAATAATACT